ATCAGGTATCAAGTGTTATGACCCTGCGTGTGTAAAGGTCCCTTCTTGTTCATGAGAACCAGCATCTGTTTCATTTGTCCTTTTTAGTCCTTGCCATCTTTGTTACATAGGTCCCATTGAGTGTGCCAAAAATTGTTCGTGTGTGAATAATAAATATCAGGCATGCCAGAGACATTGAGTCTCAATTGATAACAAAAGTTTTGAGCTCCCTTACCACATTTCACTCGGATGTAAAAGATACACAATGCTTTAGTAGAATAAGTGATTTTGATTTAAATGTGAAAATATGAAAAGGTTACAAGTCTAAATTGAAAATAAAAAAATAACTGATAAAAATTAAAAGGTAAAAGTGTAGAATGCGAGTCTTTGATTGAGTATTGACTGACTTTCTTTTGTGTCTTCGTCTTCTATTTATAGTATCAGAGTAGTGGTAATCATTCCCTTAAGACTTAGAACATTTTACCAAAGAATTAGGGATTCCGTGAAACTCATGGCACGGTCTTTACTCAATGTTCTCCACTTTTGGTAATTAGCTTGTCTCACCGAGATACTTGAGCACAATGCCCATAAATTCCAGAATCACTCAAGATCGTGTCTTTATGAACTAATGGTCCAATGTTCATACCTAGCGGGATTTTGGCATATTCATTCTATCGTGGCCTTCTATTAAGCTCAAGGTCGGCCTTTTTGTTCAGATTAGGCCTGACTCTTCAATTACTCAGCCTAAATAGCTTTCTGACCTATTTAAGTGATGTTTCATATTTTAGCCTAAATAGATTCTAAACACTGCTACTCTACAATCTATAATTTAAAGATAAATTTACCATTTAACTACTCATCAAAAAATTATATAGAAATACTATATCTAAACATGTGCTCCAGCCCTCCACGTGACCATCGAATTATGCATCAGAAGATTTCTTAATCATCTCACCCATGGTGTTTCTACAAGTTCACAATCCCATCAAATATCATGAAGCACTTTTTTTCTTTCCTTTACTATGTTTTGATCATGGATTAGGTGGAGTAGTTAAAGTCTAGTGTTATGAACGTATTGTGTATATGCACGTATGTGTTATGTCCAAAAAAGAAAAAAATGAATATATTGGTTTGAATAGATTAAAGGTTATAAATACAATTACTTTTTTTAGTGGAAAGGAAATTCATTATATAAAACTACATATGCAATATGTACAAGAAAGTAGAAAGCAATTACATCAGGCTTTTAAAGATCCAAAAAGACCTATGAGTATGATCCACAATAGCTTTAATATGTACTAGGAATGAAAATTTATCAAGAATCTCCTCGGTGAAGATGCTTTTGTTGCGAACTTCCCATAGTTTCCAACTTAAAATACTAATGCCAGTTTTTCAAGAAATTTCAACATTGGGTGATTAAAGTATAACAGATAGCCAAGTAGTAAAGGCACTCTGGTAGAAATCATCATACATATCAAGGGGTAGAATTTTTTCTAGATATTTGATGCAAAAGGACATTTTTTGAAGGTGTGATTGATATTCTCCATTGGGTCATGGCAGATGAAACATTGGGAGTCATGTGTCATTTTACAATGAAGACGTTCAACATTTGTGAGAAGCTGACCTTTAAGAAGTAACTAGATAAAAGTCCGAACCCTTTGTGCCACAAGTAGCTTCCAAATGCTCTTCTATTTAGCCTCAACATCATTCCATTCAATAGATTGGAAGGCCCTATAAGCTGATTTAATAGAAAACTCACCATTATTATTAAGATGCCAAAAACAAGAAAGAGTGAGGAGAAAGGTCATTTACATTTATTGTTACACTTTTGATTTGATCCAGGACAAATTGAGGCAAGAGATCTTTAAAATACTTCCACTTCCATTGACCTTTGTCATCAAGACAATTAGAAAGGGCACTACTCATCATTTGCTCTGAGAGTTCAGCAAAGGAGAGATGCTTTAAAGGGTTGCTATCACCTACCCAAAAATCCAACCAAAACCTGATATCTTTGCCATGGCCAGGCTTCCATTTGAGATATAGCATAGTATCTTGCCATACCTAGGCAATATTCCTCCACAAGGAAGAACAGCTCCGCCGCTTAATGTTCAAGGTGGATACAATTACTTTTTTGGGGGGGCAAAAGTAGTACACATATTAATACTAATTATTTGTAATGTTAGAGGGCCAAAACTGAATTGGCGTTGATGACCAAAACGCGTTTTTAATTAACTGCATTCCACATTTTGGACAAGGCTTAGAGGGCACATGCATGGACTGTGAGCACTAATGAAATCCCACTATTTCATGTCTCACTCACTCCACAATCTATGCATCATCGCACGCCTCACTTATTTTAATTTCCTTTCATTTCAATAGATTTTAATTTGATTCCATATACACACATTATTGTAATTAGACAACTAGTTAATATTTTGCTATCTAAGACTTCAATAGTTGTAGGCAATATTTTTAAGACTTGGAAGGACCGTCGCTTAAATACAAAAGCAGGTTGGTTTAACTCATTAACCTGGAATAGAGTCAAAATTAATCCAAAACTTAAAATGATTAGACCATTTTAAAAATATTATTTTTTATTCCTACACTTTGCTTTGGTTTTTGTATAGGTTTCTAAATTTTATTTTCTGTGTTCTAAATCTCTATACTTTTCTCTTTTTACAACATTGGACCCTACATTTTGAGAAAGATGTTGATACGGCACAAACGATATTAATAATTCTGACATGCCAATTAACAGCGTTAATTTTTTACTTATGTGTCAAAATAATGCTGACATGTAATTATTTAATAAGGAAAAAATAAAGAAAGCCTACATTAGATAAAATAAAAAGACTAACTTGAATTTTTTAAATGATCAACAAAACATACATTAGATGTAATAAAAATACTAACTTAGACTTTTTAAATGATAAGCAAAATGCACATATTTCATATAGGATTTTAAAAAATAAAATTGCTTATTAAAAATTTCACATTAGCATCAGTTTGACAAGTGAGCACAAAATTAATGGTGTTAATGGATATGTCAGTATTATTAATACTATTGGTGCCACGTCAACGGTCCCCTAAAAATGTAAGGGCCTAGTTGCAAATGGAGGAAAGTGTAGGGATATGGAGCATCAATAAAAAATAAATATAAGAATTTATACCAAAATTTGAGCAAAATGTTAGGATTAGGAATAGTAATTTCCCTATTTTTTTTTACTCCGGTTTTAGTAATAATTGTTTTTATTCAATTTAGAAATTAACCCAAGTCCCACAGTTGGTATACCTATTTTTATGCACTCTTTTTTTTTTTTACTCGTTAATATATAAACATGCTCTTCTTTCGTTTGTCCTTATCGTTCTGAGAAGACCATCATGTTCCCCACTATTTATGGGACTTAATAATCAATTGTTGATCAATTTTAGCGACAGGGTTTTACAAGAGAGCAAGAACATTAAATGAATATAATCCACCTCCGGATTCTCTTTTGCTGGCTTTAGAGGTTATGATCATGGTGTTCCACGCTAAAAGGCAAAACTGTGCTAGTTTTGGCAAGTATTTAAAAACCCACCTAACCAAAAAGATTTGCTTACAATACTAAGAAATATGAACGAACATACGAACACAACCTTTTTATTTCTATTTTCTGGTCTCAATTTTCTAGTCTCACTAATCCTCTCTTCTTATACACTGCTTACACCATAAAAATTGGATACTAGAAAAAGATAGTACCTTTTTTTTAATATCTTCTGTAATGTTTCAATTTTTTAATTTTATTTTTTTTAAATCATCAAGTTGAATATAAAATAAGAGATATTTCAATATTTTAAAATCTCAAAACAGTAAAATTTTGTATTTTTAATAAATTTTCAAAAATAAAAAGGTGAACTAGTGATATTTTTATTTAAATAATCATAAAAAATATAAAACTTTAGGATTTTGAGATTTCAAAATATTAAAAAAATTATTTTATATATAAACTAATGATTAAAAAAATGAAATTGAAAAGTTAGAGCATTAAAAAAAATTAGATAAAGGTACATTAATTAGAGGTGCCTAATCCTATAAAATAACAATTTTTTATCGGATCATTTTTTAAATTCCGTGCAACATTAAAGACTCATACTTGTGAAATTAGAGCATATTCGGGGCTTATCAAGGATGATGCACTCATCACCCCTTAAATAATCTAAACAATGCAGATTAAACTAGTTTTTTTATAAATTTATTTTTTAAAATAAAATTTAAAATAAATATATTTATCATTTATATTTAATCAAATGAGTTCAAATTTAATATTATTTTTTATAATTTTTTATAAATTGACCATACAAATTTAATTTGTACTGTTCAAATTCAAAATTTTTAATTTATTATACTGTTATATTCAAAACAGTTTAAAATAAATCTGTATTAAATTTAGATTAACCTAATTAAATATGAATGATACATGTTAATAACAAATATATCTATTTACAATTTTATAATTTTTTATTTTAAAAATAAAAAAATTAAAAAAGGTAGTTTAATTTAGACTTGTTTCAAGGATGATACTCATCACCCTTGATGAGCATTAAATGTGCTCCCCCAGTGATACACTAAAGCATAAATTGCCGGATTTTTGTGATTATTTCAACAGTAATTTTTTCCTCCGATCTAAAGTGCCCTGAGGAGCGTGAAAACTTCAGAGGCCTTTTCTTATTGTACCATAACAAAGATTAGCAACTTGTAATGATGTTTTCCGTGAAGAAATTAGCTGAGTCCTGACAAGATTATATAATTTTATATATATATACATATATTGTATAATATGATTTTAGAAAAAACATCATGAAGATAAAGAAATAGCCCATTTCACTTTTATAATAAAGTTCATCAAGCACAATCCATAGGGACCACAATCATCACAAAAGCCTCAGTCCCATTTGAGTTTGTCTGACTATTTACATAGATTCTGTTTCGAGGTCTACTATATATAAAATCACTTGTCAGTGTCTACTCCACGTATTCTTAATTTCTTATTCTTTTTCACTTCTATGGCTCTCTTCTCAAACTTCTTCTCTTTTCTGTTCTTCACAGTACTTTTCCTGTCTCTGCAAATCCATGCCAGAGACAGCCAGTTCTTCAGCAAAGTAACACATGCCAACGACAATAATATTAATGGGATCAAAGAAACTGATCTTCCCAGCAAAGAAGAACCAGTGAACAAGCAGCCAGAGCAAGAGCCTGTCTTCGTCCCTGAGGCTCATGACAGCTATGGCCTCTACGGCCACAAGTCCGCCGGCCAGTTCCCTCCGGCCACCACCACCACTACCATGACGACGTACCCGCCGTACAAGACTGAGTCTGAGGAGTACATGATGAGCAAGTATCCAAACAATAAGTATTATTCCTACTACAACAGGGATGCTTATAACACAAACTACTACAAGGATGCTTATGGCAATGATCTGGACAATACAAAGCACACAGAAGGAGGATACGAGTCTGTAATGTCGAAGAATCAGATGATGAGGAAGAAGAACCAGATGTTCTATAACAGCAACAATGGTGGATATGATGATAGGTATCACCACAATAATGGTGAGAGGCAAGGAATGAGTGATACTAAGTTTATGGAAGGTGGAAAATACCACTATGAGAATAATAACTCCATTGAAGGATATCAGAACCAGGGGTTTGAGGGTAACGAAGATAAGTTTCAGCCTTGAACTTAGATCAGTGATAAGTTATTAGAGAGGATAGGGTTAATTTGTGATGATGATTTCTTAGTTAAATTCTACTGAATCTTGATTTTGGATCTACCTAGTTTCTGTGTCGTTCATAATATGTAAAAGTCATGAAGCATGAGAGCACATGTGTGTAGCTTCTGCTTACTGCGATAATGCCAAGTTAAGATTGCTTAGTTATTCGTTTTCATCTGGTTTTAAACTTCCTTTGCTTGTTTATGCTGCTGTTTTCAAATTAAATTGATTAACCTGTGATTATACTTATCGTTCTCTAAAATTAGAGTTGGAGAAAAATTTAATTAAATAACAAAATCAACTAGTTGCTCATCTCGGTTGGCCCCACAAAATGAGATTGCCATCATTTTTGAACGCTTTGAGAGGGAGAATTAGGCTATAAAGGTTGAGTGGTGACTTTCCTTTCATGTTTTATGTTCTTTCATATCATACTCCCTCTTGTTCTCATCATAAAATTTTTTTAACTACTTCATTGAAATTCAGAAATAACAATAGTTAATAACTCATTAAATATGTCTTCATTAAAATGATTTTTTTAAAAAATTTTTAACTACTTCATTGAAATTCAAAAATAACAATAGTTAACAACTCGTTAAATATGCCTTAATTTAAAATGAATTTTTTTTTAACTTTACTTCTATTAAAAATAAAAAAAGATATACACACTTACAATAAACCATAAAATTAAATTTACAATAGGTGTAAAATTAAAAATTGATAATATAATAACCTTCCATGTGTCTTATATTAGATTTAAGTGTACTTTTAATTCTTTCATTTTATATACAGTTTTAATTTGGACTCTTAACTTTAAAGCATCTTTTCAATCCCCTAATTATAACACTGATTATTTTTTATATCAATCATTGTTATTTTTAAAAAATAAACTTAATATGTTAATATTTGGGAATGTTCTGTTAATATTTAAAAATTTAATGCAAATTTTCTTTATGATAAAACTAACAGTGTTAAGGTTAAATGATTAAAAATGCATTTTTTTCAATTTAAGGAATTAAAATAAAAATTTATATAAAATTAAAGGATTAAATATATACTTTAACTATTATATTAGTAAAGACTAAATAATTATAATAAAAAATATCCTATAATAAAGACTTGAGGTATAGTATTAGACATGGGATTGTGTTAGTCAAAGATTAGGAAGTAAAACAAATTAAGTTGTTAAGATCATCATGCATACAGCAATTCATCATGTAATAATTAGAGACATATAGATGCGATAGTGGACAGGGGCGGAACTAGGCTTAGAAGTTGTGGGGGGCCAATTTTTTTCAAAAAAAAAATATACATACATACATACATATATGTGTTTATGTATATTGTTAATTTAATTTTATTATATTCTTTATAATTAATTTTTTAGAAATAATTTATAACTTTTAAAATATCATTTAATGTTATAAATTATCATTCAATGCTATAGGTACCTATACTTTTTTTTTTATATAATAGGTTCTTACATTTTTAGTTTTCGATGTTCTTAAAACGTCAAAAAAATAAAAGTGTAAAAATTTAAAATATTAAAAAAAAAAGTATAAAAACTTATAACAAAATACTGCTTTCTTAGCCAAGCACTTTATATAGGCCACTACTATTTTTCTATTTCCCTTAAGCCCAACAAACATCTCCCTTGCAGTCCTATCTAGCAAGGCCACATCACACTTGCCAAGAAGCAACTCATCACTTGCAATCTCCTCAATTTGGCAAAGTTCCATTGCAATATTCAGAATAGTTTGATCATTGGTCTTGTTTCACTCTCCATTGAATCAAGAATTGATTTCATTGTTGTAACCCTATCCTCTTGTGTAGTAATCAAATGATTCACTACATCAGCCATGACATATGTGTGATGTTTTTTCTTTTTGTTCTGACTATTTTTACCTCTCTTTCACTTACTCCCATAACTGGCACCACCATTTTGTACACTGATATTATTCAAGTTGATTTGTCCAATTTTAGGAATAGCTCCACCACTTGTATCCCTTAAATCATCATTATCTCCAAGTCCTTCAATCAAATCCATTTCTAGCCTATATACGTCCTCATGATCATCAACCACAAGTGTTCACATGTATGTGCCCCGTGTTTTAACAAGCAGGAATAACTCTATAAATTACTCCACCTGTTTTTTAGTTACTTCTTATTATAACTTCTTGAACTTAATAAATTAAAATGTTGTATTAGCACCACCCAACCCTCTTTTAATAGGGTAGAACCTTTACACTCATTTTTTTTCAACTTGTAGAGCTAACTTGATGAAGAGTTTAGTTTCTACTATAGTCTATATTGTTTTCTCATTACTCATGTTCACTACCAAAATATTATATTCTCAACAATCAAGTTGAAAGAACTAAAACACTTATACATAATATAAAATTTACACTCGATTTGTCCCCATTCGGGATCCGAACTGTACTTTACCTGGTATACGAACTACTTTTACTAGAATCTATGAATAACAATTAACTCATTATATATATACATTTTAAAATAATTTTTTTAACTTTTCCTTTAAAAATAAAGAATGAGAAATATAAACCATAAAATTAAATTTACAATAGTTATGAAATTGAAAAATTGTAACAAATAATTCTCCACGTATCTTGTATTAAGAATTAAAAATTCTTCTAAAAGTTGCTCATTGATAAGAACCGAGAGGTCAAATTTAATTTTTTCCTGTACATAAGTGTAAAAGAATTATGTTTGGGACATAGTATACGTGTAACTTGTGAACACTTTTTAAAATTTGAAAGGTAAACACAAAATAAAATTGTAAAAATCTAAAAAATAATTTATTTTAGCATACTCATAATTTGTCATTCTATTTAAATTAAAATCTAAATAATAATTATTCTATTTTAAATTTTGTTTTGTCCATTGATATTAAAGATATAAATAACAAGTTATTTATTTTAAAAGAGGTTGTTCCTGCTGTAACAACTCAATTTTATTCCCATAATTTAAGTAATATTATGAAAAAATTATTTCATGATAAATGAAAATTATCATATAATTATGAGTAAAGATAATTTACCTATAATGAGTTTAGTTTTAAACACTCAATTTTAAGCCACAATTCTTTAGGAAAGGCAAGAAAATAAGGTATTTAACCCGATATCAGTGTTACTAATCAGAATTTCTATAGAGTATCCAAAGCAACATTATGCTGTTCTAGCAGCAACCAACTAGAGGGGAGGAATGAACATTAGAATATACAGATCAACTATTCAGGAGCTTCAAAAATATCACAGATAGCTTTCTGATGAATCAGATTCAGAAACAAATTCCTCACAGCTGCCATTTAAATGGCATAAAAGAGAATTTAAAACCAGGAGCGCACACAAATGATAAAACCATATATACAACAAGGAAAGAATGCTGATCAGATATTCCTAAATAACAAAGAAAAGGATACATAGCAGTTACCTCTTTATGCTGTCACGGTTGATCTCTGGTAAACTCACCAGCCTACAAAAGCAGAAGAACAAGAATATAAGTCTCCAAGTATAATTGCCAGTTGCAGAGGCGGAGTTAGGATTTAAGAATAAGGTAGGCCAAGATTAAAAAACATATGTACTACAAAGTTTTCATAAATTTTAAGGGGGCAATAGTATGTAACACTTGTATAATACCAAAAAAAATTTAAAAAATTGGGGGTTCACAACCCTTGCTGGTCTCCCCTCCCGCCGCGATTGGGCAGTTGAATTTTCACCATAAAATCAGATAAACTCATGAAGGAATACAACAAGATACTAGCCGGAAAAAAAAAAAAGATTTTAGTTAAATGAATACTATAAGTCAACTCCAATGACATTACCAAATATAAAAGGAGTTTTAATGCATGTGAGTCCTTTATGGACAATCTATGACTTAATCAAGCCCGCCTAAAGTTCACATGTAACTTCTTGTACTCAATGCCGCACCAAGAATTAGGACATTCAACTAAGTTAATTCTTCATTTTAGATGTCTTATATTAGTTATAATCATGCTACCAATGCAACAATTAAAAAACACAGGAATTGTCAGGCAAATCTTCTCAATTAACTTTCTATAGTTCTATTTCTTATTTTGTTCGAGCGATTTTCTTTACGTTTTCACATTCGTATGAGGGAGTGGCTTCCAAAAAAATCATTTAATTTAAATTTCATATCATTATAGAATTAAAACAAGTCACTTTCACTATATATATTGCACAATAGCAATGCATACAAGTCTTAATTTCCAAATTCCAACTTCAGCAGATGATTTTGCTCTCATGATAACCAAAAAATTAGTATTGAAGAAAATTGAAAGAAACCAACTTGAGCGTTAAATTCAATGAAGTTGGCAGGAGATCCCAACCGAGCGAGGACCGAGTAGCCTGCTTCCGCCGCCGCCGCCTCGACCACCACCAGGCCTCAAGTTTATCACCGCTTGATCATATTGCTGCATACCTCAGGATTCAGGACCGTTCACTTGAAGATAAAATCTTCGACGTAGATTGACAACGAGAAACACAGAACGAGATTCAGAGGCGACAACCGCAGAACCTGAACCAGAAGGAAATATGTAGATTAAAAGGAGATACTTTACACGAGAGAGAGAATAGGATCTCGGGGATATTTCTCTCTCTTCTGCGAGAGTGCGACGAGAAGAGGATGGCTTGAAGCCCGCGGGTGCAACGAAAACAAAATTAGGAAAGCAGTGACCTTGAAAATTAAAATTAGAACCGTAGGCAGAATTTTATACAAATTTTAAAATGTAAAGTAAATTTTTTTTATATTTAAATGATATTTTCATATAATATTATAGGTTTTTATTTAAAAATTAAAATGAGTTATAAATTTGCCGAGCCAAAAATATAAATTTAACAGATAAATTTATAAATTTTTAAAAATATTTAAATAATAATATGTTTAATTAATTAAGATTTATATCCCTGTTAAAATGAAAAAGTGAGCTGCAAATTGAAGACAAACAAAATTGAAAATTTAATTTATTTAATCATCAAACTTTGTGTTTTAATTAATTTACAACTTTATTTCTCCAGTTTATAATTTCATAATCTTTAATTCGTAACACGCTTTCCCATTTTAAGAAACACAAATTTAATAATTAAATATAAAAAATAACATGTCATTAATTGAATGCATTAAAAATGTGTGACTTTACCTCTTAAACTTACCATTTATTTTTTTAACTTGTAATTTAATTTTTTAATTTTAAAATTTAAAATAAATTACATTATATAAAAATATCAATTAAAAACTTAAAAATTTATTTCATATTTTAAAATATATTGGGATTTATTTTAGGATAAAGTAGTAAATTTGATCACGAACTATTTTTTAAGATCATCCGGTAGCTTAAAATATCAAATTGTGTGAAATAAATTCTCAACTTTAAAAAATAAAGCATGCAATAGCCCATAATTAATTTCAATTGAAGGACACTATATGTGTCCACAAATGACACGTGGCACTCTATAGGCACTTCATGTCTACATGTGTAAAAATGTAAATATAATTTTAAACTATTTTTTGAGAAGTATTAAGTAGCCTTTGCTATAAAAAAAATGAACCATCGAATATCTTTTTATCAATTTTCACCAAGTATCGTTTATTTTAATGTTTATGAGACCCACAAGGCATCAATTTCTTCAATCTTCCTACCTTCATTTTTAATCTCAACTTGAAAAGAAAAGGTCCAAAGAGTTCTTATTTAAAAATGTTCATGAAAATGATGCTAATAAAATAAAAGTTTAATTTTACTATACATAAAAAAGCTTGATTCTAGCTTACTTTAGTCATGAATTAATTTTTCTACTTTATTGATGTCGTCTTCATCAATGTCTTTAGATAAAAACTCTTTAAATCTTTTCTTCTAGAGCAAAGACTAAGAAATAAGGCAAGAAAATTGAAAAGATTGATACATTGTGAGTCTCATAAATTTAAAAATAAACAATATTTGGTCAAAATTGATAAGAAGATATTGGATGGTCTGTTTTTTATAGTAAAAGTTACCTAATGTAGCTCAAAAAATAGTTCATGGCTCAATTTGCACCGCCACATGTCATTTGTGAGTCTCACATAACATCCATTAAGTGAAGTTAACGATGAGTTACTTGATACTGTATTTTTTTAAAATTGAGAATTTATTTTATACCATCTCATAGTTTAAGGCTACTAGATACTTCTAAAAAATAATAAGTAGTTAAATTTACACATTTATCCTTTCTTTTAAATAAAATCATCTTTGCCACCTAAGTGTCATCCCTCTAAAAGTTACTCTCTCAGTTAAAAAATATAACACATTTTTTGAAGAGTTAGAAATTTAAAAATATAAGATATTTTTAGTTTTTTAATATGTAATTATTGTTTTTTCTCTAAAAGTGTCCTATTGATGAATGAATATATATTTATTATAGGGTGTTTAATAAGAATAAATATGAAAAGATATAGTTAGTTTGAAAATAGATAATTACTTTACTGATAAATAAGATTCGATTAAAAATATTTTATAGTTTTGGGTAAAGGTGCAAATTTAGATACAAACTATTTTTCAAGTAGCATCTGATAGCTTAAACTATCAGATAATGCAAAATAAATCACGAACCTTTAAAAATAGAGCATCCAGTATCCTGCCGTTAACTTCAACTAACAAACATTATGTGGGGCCTACAATGACATGTGGCACAACACGAGCTTGACACGTCAGCATGGAAAAAGTGAAAATTTAGCTATAAATTGTTTTTCGAGAAACGTTGGGTAGCATTTACTATAAAAAAGTGGACCATCCAATACCTTTTTTTCAATTTTGATCACACACCGTTTATTTTTATATTTATGTGGCCTATAAAATATTAACCTCTTCAATCTTCTTGCTTTCATTCTCAATATCAACTCGAGAAAAAGAGATTCAAAGAATTCTTATCTGAAGACATTTACAAAGATGATGCTAACAAAGTAGAAGAAATAATTCATGACTAAATTAAATTAGAATCAAACTTCTTTTATGCGTAGTAAAATCAAACTTCTACTTCATTAGCATCGTTCTTGTGAATGTTTTTAGATAATAACTCATTGAATCTCATTTTCTAGAGCTTATATTGACAACAAAGGCAGAAAAATTAAAAAAATTAATGCTTTGTGGGCTTCATAATTATAAAAATAAATAGTATTTGATCAAAATTGAGGGAAAGGTATTGGATGATTCACTTTTTTATAGTAAAAGTTACCTAACACTCCTCAAAAAAATAGCTTGAGACTAAATTTACTTCTTTACCATGCTTACATGTCATACTCATGTCATGCTATGTATCATTATAGATTTCACATAATATTTATTAATTGAAATTAACGGTAAGTTATCTCCATTTTTAAAAGTTGATAATTTATTTTACATTATTGATAATTTAAATTATCAGATATTTTTTAAAAAGTAATTTATAATTAAATTTGTTACTTTACCCTAACGACAGAGTATGTTATTTGCTTGAGTGTACTCTGCGGAATTAAATATGTTGATTTAATGTAATCAAAACTCCTGAGAATTCCAAAGGAGCAACTGAGAGGGAAGAGGAGAGAGAACACTGAACCAGAACCAGAGGGAGCTTTCATCAATGGCATCTTCTCTGAACAAATCATCTCCATACAATAAATATGAGATAAGGAAGAGGAATCCAGATCCTAAATCATGTGCTCTTTTGGTCATTGACATGCAAAACTACTTTTCTTCCATCGCCAAACCCATCCTCTCCAATCTCTCCACCACAATCCGTCTCTGCCGGAACGCCTCCATCCCCGTCATCTTCACGCGCCACTGCCACAAGTCCCCCGCCGACTACGGCATGCTCGGTGAGTGGTGGAACAATGAGCTCGTCTGTGACGGCACACCGGAGGCGGAGCTTATACCGACACTCGATCGGAAGCCGGCGGACATGGTGGTGGAGAAGAACACTTACAGTGCGTTTAGGAACACTCATTTGGAGGAGAAGCTTGAGGAGATGGGGGTAAAGGAAGTGATTGTGACGGGGGTGAAGACGAACCTGTGCTGCGAGACGACGGCGCGTGAGGCTTTCGTGAGAGGGTTTAGGGTTTTCTTCTCTGCGGATGCCACGGCGACGTCGAATTCGGAGCTCCATGAGGACACTTTAAAGAACATGGCTTATGGGTTTGCTTATTTGCTCGATTGTCAGAGGCTTCAAGACGCTCTCTCTGTAAAATAAACCATCAAGGCTTTTCTGTATGATTTAAATGAAATTTCTTTCTTTCTCCTAAAGATCGTGTGGATTGCTGATAACTCTGCTCATGAAAACATTGAATTTTTTAGGAGTTGATGATCCAAATTTAAGAGGAAGCATATACCTTAACTGAATTTGAAGCTTAATCATTGGCACTTTAGTCCTCTGAATATCCAGGAATGGCTGCTTCCGTTATGAGAAAGAAGCTGACAAACCGTCTGCCGTGGAAACGTTCCTTTCAATTTCGCCCATATGATTTCTTACCCTAGTTGTCTGAGAGAAAAGGAGAATGAATATCTCATGATTCAGAGAAAAATTAACACGGTCGAAATTGAAAGTATTATTTCTCATGCTGGCACCTATGAAACTGGGTCTTCTCTGTCTGGTTGGAAGAAGTGGTACTTGTATAATTAGCATTAAACATATTTTGCCCAGGGCTTCTTAATTCTTCTCTGAATTAAATAATGTGAGAGTCTGAAAAATGAGTATGTCGTTTATGTTTCATGACTGGCATGACTTGTTAAGTTTCTCTATTGTCTGTAAATTTGTCCCCGAATGACTTAAACCTCTCCTCTCTTCTTTGACTCCCACTATGAATTTTGTTAAAACATTGGTTCTTGTCCTACCATGGCCCAGAGGATCTCAGTTCCTATTTACATCCATGAATTGGGACCTTCTGACGTTGCAGAGGAATATATGTTGAAATTTTGGTAAATACATATCAAGTTTTCCCATAGAGAATGTTTAGTTTTCCATTGGCCAGAATAACTACTTGTCATGTTCTGAAGTTTAGGATGGAAGAATTTCATGGCTAGGTAGTAATTCAACTATGCTCTGAAGGCAAGTTTTCAAAACATATGAGCAATTTAAGCTTTTCCTCTATTATCCATTTAAGTCACTTAGTGAAAACATTCTGTTGGTACAGTCCTGATACTTTAGGTAAGTGTCATAACATCTGATAAAAATTTTGAAGTTAATCAAGTGAAAGTTGTGTTTATTTCTAATCTGCTTGGGCTGCATCTTGTCAAGAACCTGTCTTTGTTGTTTAACTCAATCTCTACAAGAAATGCCAGTTATTCTAGCTGTATCTATGTTCTGGTATATTGCAGTAATCCTGGCATGACAATTCATGATAAAGGGGGGTTGATTAATTCACATTGAATCTGAAGATCGATTCTTTTCATTCACAGCCTTATACTTTATTATAATCTGCTTAGTGGTAATTCAGTATTAGGTGTGGATAAACCTTGAAAGAAAGAGAAAGATCTAGTATGCATTGTACTTTTGGTATGCATTGCGCCCTGGCCTAATGCTCCTTGTCTTCTGTCTTGAGTCCCACATTGGAGGTCTCATAAGTTGAGTGATGCTTCTAAATGTGAGGGGTTTTCCCACTCAACAGTCTAGTCTTTTGAGATGGACTCTCTATATAAATTTATGCTCTCAACAAATGGTGTTTTCATTGAAAGAGCGACCTTATAGAAAGGGTTACCCACATAGCGTTTTAACCAACATGAGGTTAAGTGAAATATGATGGAGTGAAGTCATCGGGTCTCAAATGGGTTGGCATTGACATGAGTTTCATATTGGGGAACTTATAAGTTGAATGAAGTTTGTAAGAGTGAGGGATTCTTCCATCTAATAGATTAATCTTTTAAGATATGTTTATGACATCTTCCTTTTGATATGTGTAATGAAGTGCAACTTAGTTGTTGATGTTTTGGTGTTATTTTCCTTGTTTGTATATAAGGTTGAGTACGATCCCTGCAATAACTATCAATTTATAACAAGTCACACATTCCCTGTATAGATAAAGTCAAATGAGCAGATGAACAGATCTGTTGTGCACCCTAATCATATCAGGTGCAAATAGACTTTTTTTTAATCTATATACACTAAATTACAAACTATATATAAATAAGATTAAAATAATGAAGATTGCTGTGAAGTTTAAAAATATCCTAAATGTTATAAATTATTGAAGTTAAACAGCAAATGGCACACTTCTTGGCTGCATGTTTCTTATCTTTTTACAAAATTTCTTCTCAATAATATGCTCAGACATAAGAGTTATGAATCGTCCCTCGTCAATATTATTTTCAGGTTGAAGAGTTTTATGGTTGTGTAATTCTTACTGTATTTCTTGCTTTTGCTATACAGTTCACATGATTTTTATCCTCTGTACTGTGTCTGTTCATTGAGATGCCATCTTCAATGTTATAGTTGTAGATGAATGGTCATAAGTCAACAATACATGCTTGATGATTCCCATACTAATTGGGTTTGACGTCATATTTAATTAGAAAGAATGAAACAACACGCTACATTAGATAGATGTACCGTATGTATAGCAAGCTGAAGAAAGATTGAAGCAGAAGCAATCAGATATTCAGATGAATTTGAAACTTGAAAGTATATATATCACATGTCATTGCGACTGATAACTTTCTGCCAGCATATAGAGGGAAGAAAAGAGGCCTTCGACATGTGTACAAGGTAATATTGAGATATTTCTTCATTTTTTTTCCCTTTTAAATAGATTCTTAAGGAGTATATTATTTCTGTACATTGTCGATATGTCAGAAAAATGACACAAATGTTTTTATAAAATGATCGCAATCACACCTTTATTTTAACCAGGGTTGAAATTTATAATTATCTGATGTGATATATATATATATATATGTATATTTTTTTTTTCAGGGAAAATTAGTTAACAGGCAAGAAATAGCAACAAAAAGGCTTTCTAAAAGTTGAAGACAATGGAAAAATTATGTGAAACTTATTGCTAAACTCAATGCACCTTTGGATTGGATCATGTTTAGTTGCGAAAACAAAAATAGTTTTAACGATTTCATTTTTCTCTCCTTTCATATCCCTCTAGAAAGCCTGGGCGTCTAAAATTAAAGGGTTGGGAGAAAAGTCAAAGTCTCAATTTTAGTAATAGGGATAACAAGTTACTTATCACTTTTGATATGATCCAAATTAGTTTGATTTAGATGGATCAGGTTTAAAGTTTTTTATTTTATATTTATGAAAATAAAAATTTTATAATAAATCTACTCATTATCAATCAGCTGGATTGTCCATATTACCCAAATTTAATACTAAATTTTTTTCAAATTAGCTATTCATATTTACTCTGAACAATTCATATTTAATATTAAATTTTTATAATTTTTTTTAAAAAATTATTTTTGGTAAATACAATATTAAAAGTAAAGATAATCTTGTGATAAGCTCTTCCCTTTTTTTAAAAAAACCGTTGATAGTAAATTTGCATAGTTAGTTTATAAAAATATAAAAAATTAAATTAAATTTGGACTATCTAAAGTAAATATAGAATGCTATGATTGATATGATTAAAAATATTAAAAATTTGAAAAAAGACACAATCACCAATTCTTATGGTTTCATCAAGTTTTGCTTTTAATTTTTATATTTTTTAATATTTTTGTCCTAATAGTTTTAGAAATATTAAGTGACATTTATTTTTCAAGTCTTTATAGTTTTATTTTTTTAGTGTTTTTAGTCTCTGTAAAGACTAAAAACATTAAAAAAAACTATGAAGTTTAAAAATAAAACCTGATTAAGTATATGAGCCAAAGATTATGTTTTTCCAAAATTTCTATAAATTTTTATTTTAATAAAAATTAAAAATAAAAGATATTTTAAATCAATCTAGATTGTCTAGATCATATAAGAGGTGATGAGCACTTGATGTTGATGAAGACTAAGTGGGCTCTCCAAATGATAAGATGAAGCCACCTATAAACACGAGAAGCATCTAGAGACAAAATAATACAGTGACAACGTTCTAAATTATGCGAAGCTTACCTATGTATATACCTTTGCTACAATATGCTGAACAACACATACTAGAAGCTGACGAGTGAAGAACTTGGATTACAGGCTAAAACATCAGCTCATAAGTTGAACGGAAGAACTAGAGTATCTTCTGCCATAAGTACTTTGTTGTGATCGAAACGAGTGTTATTGACAGTCTTTTAGACGAGAAGGACAATTTGGTAATTTAATGTCACAAGGTCATAAAGTCATGAACTCATGGGTTAAAATAGTAAACTAATCTCTACACTAGAGATTTAGGAGCTTTTGAAATTTTAAACTTAATTTTTTTAATAATATTTTCTTCTAACTTTTAAAATCGATATAATCTATTTTTTATCATTAATCGAAGTTAATTTTAACAATTAGCTGATTAGAAAATAAAAAAATAATATCAAAATTATCACAAAAAAAGAACAAAAGACTAGTAAAAAAAATAAAAAATTATAGATAATGATTCAAAAAAAATTGCAGAAAAAGACAAAAAAATTATTGGTTCTCTTATGTAATTTTTTAGGTTTTTTTTTCGCTATTTTCTGATCAACCAACTGTTAAAATGAATTTTTGTTAACTGTAAAGATTAGATTATACTGTTTTAAAAAATTAAAGAAAAATATTATATAAAAAAATAAGTTTAGATCTCAAACATTCCCATATTTATAATTTAAAAGTCAATTTACTTTTTTATCTTAAAATCATTGGTCCAAATACATGCATAGCAAAAACAAAATTAATACACTGAGGTAAATCTTCAAGAATGTAACAAGGTTCCAACTTTCTGAAGGGTTGGCCCTCTCCTCCAAGAATTGATGGAAATTGTTTTGCCTTCTTTTTCACCCTTCTTTGCTAATCTCTTTTATGAATCCACTTATGACCCCTTCATCATTGCCTGCCTACACTTGCTTATTCACTTTCTTCTCTCTTTTTGTTTGTAAACCCAATTTTTGTTCTTCTTCTCTCCTTTAAGTTTTGGTTGCTATCGCGAGTTGGATCCTATCAATTCCCTGTCTCGTACATCTCTTTATAAAGGTTTTTCCCCCATTATTTTAATAATTTTTTAAGAAAAATGAAATGATGAGATCTGATTCCGGCACGCAATGTATATACTCATTGCACTTTTGAAATTAGTTCTCTATTGAGATCGCTCAACTGCACGTTTTGTGTAGGTTAGTGTTAGTGTTGGAGCACATTCAATGCTCATTAGTCACCCTTAAAATAACTTTAACTGTCTAGATTCAAATTTAAATATTTTTTTATTTTTAAAATAAAAAATTATAAAATTTAATAAATCTATTAATTACCAATATGTATAATTCATATTTAATGAGGTTGGTTCAAATTTAATACTATTTTTTTTTATAATTTTTATAAATTGACCATATATGTTTACTTTGAAGTGTTTAAATATGATAGGATAATAAGTTAAAAATTTTGAATCTGAATAATATAGGAAAAATCTATATAGTCAATTTATAAAAATTACAAAGAAATTAATATTAAATTTAGATTGATTTGATTAAATATGAACAGTATATATTGATAAATAATAAATTTATTCAAAATTTTATATATAAATTTTTAT